AATGCCCCCCCCCCCCCCCCTCCGCACTCCGTCGAGAGATATACCGATCGAGAGATTGCGTTTCATAATTCAGACAGTAGGTGCGTGCTGATCTCGTTCAAGGGTAATTTATCGTCTCGTTTTATTGCTACTTCTGTTCCCATCTATTTTCACGTGGAAGAAAAAGAGAGAGAGAAAGAGAGAGATTCGTTAAGAATAATCCAAGAGAATTTATCCAAGTGGATAAATTCTCAGAAAAAAAAACTGATAACACTAGTTAGAAACTGACCAGTTTTTACTGACTAGAATTTGGACCGTAATTATTCAGAAATTGGATATAAAAAATACTGGCCAGGAACTAAGCAAGAAAAAGTGATCATACAAAATAAAGCTATTACTAGTTCAATAATAAATAAATGTACACGTGCAAGGACTCTATCTTCTGAAACATGAATTTTACATCATTTTTATATTGAATAATAACATATAATATTTTACAATGCAGAATCGAGCGATTTTTACGAAAATACGTATTTAACAGAATCTTGTAACAAAAGAATTTGGTTAAAAACTGGTTAGAGACTGGTCAGGGACTAACTAATTTTACTGTCTAATTACTAGCTAAGTAAACGTCGCCTAAACTGGTTAGATACTAGTCAGTAACCAAAATTCCTGACCAATTACTGGCGACAAGGAAGAGGTCTTTCTACTTGGGACGTTAAGAGAGAGAGAGAGAAACCGTGAGACGGGTGGCTTCGTTACCGGGCCCTCTGGGAAATGACAATCTCGATTTCCAGGTGAAGCTAATCCCCGGTAAGGACAAATTCGAGACTACCTCGAAGAATGAATCCTGGCCACAGTGGAACGAGGAGTTCATCTTTCCCCTGCGTAAAGAGACCAAGCAGAAGTTTGGCAAGTCAAAAGTGGTCGAGGAGGAGATCAACGGGTCGAGATTCATCGTCGCAACTCTCTACGCGGTCCTCGAGGACAAGCCTCTGATAGCGACCGACAAGAAAGAGGATAAAAGCTCACCTACCAAGGGAGGAGAGTCGCCGAAGAAGGGTGGCAAGAAGAAAGAAGGTCAGAGCGGCTCGTCCGAGAATCAGGAGCCCACCAAGAACAAGCTTCTCAGTCAGTTCTTCGGCAAGGGTCCTGATAAAATCGCAGAACCCACGGCCATGGAGAGGAAAGTCTACGACAAGAGACGAACCATCGGCGCGACGACGATTCCGCTGGACTCGAAGAACTTCGTAACCAAACCACCCAAATCCAAACACGCCGGTGATGTGTCCACGGGAGATCTGTGGAAGCCACTGCGACCGATCTCGAGCGGTATCATCGGCGAGGACAAAGTACGTTTGCAAAACCTCACAAATATTTATCGATATTTATCATTATTTATGATATCTATAATCTATATGGAAGACAATCGAGCAAACTCTCAAATTCGTATTAAACTGATCATGAATTTCATTTTTTGATGTAAACTCGTGAAGAGTGAAAATTTTCAAACGCTTTTAAGTTAGAAAATACATACATTTATCGCGAGTTTATACATTATATTTATACATTTTTCGCGAGTTTACATTGAAGCAAAAATTTTCGATACACTGAGAGGAAAAATATCTAAAAAATAAAAAATATTTATTTGGTGGATACTAATAATATATTTACTTAAATCTAAATTCTCTTATTCAAACAGAATAAACAATTGCTTTGATGAAAGATTAAGGTTGTAGGAAAAAACATATTTTTATAAATATCTAAATATAAATATATTGTTAAATATATTTTTTTACCTGAACAATATTATATTATATTTTTTCTTTCAGTGTATTGGAAATTAAGGATTGCTCCGCAATTCTCAAATTTTTAGTGCGCAATCTTCAATGTTAAATACCTAATCTGATACGAACTCTAAGATGTTTGTATAAATTTATTTTTTAACCAATACGATGAAATTTTGTGTAGATATATACAATACTAGTTTGATCTGGTTTTATTAAAGAGATCTGATTTTACTAGAGAGTTCTAGTTATCTAGCTGAACTGAAGCGTTGCACAAGATAAAATATTTTTTCAGAAAGAGAACAAAAAGGGCCAAGTGGAATTGTCGTTGTGCCTGGCGAAGAGCGAGAAGGATGAGGACAACGATGGGCAACTGATACTGTCTCTGAATCGTCTGAGATGTTCACTTCAGACGATGCACGAGCACGAAGGTCTGAAAGGGCAGATGTATTTGAAGATGTCTGTCGTCGACGGCGGACGAGTTACGCACTTTTGGAAGAGCGACCGATTCGCGCCGACGGTGTCCACCAAGTTCTCGCCGGAGACGGCAAGAGTGGTTGCCGACAATCCGTACAAGGGTGCGCTCAACGACGTGTGCTTCGTCGTCAAGTTCGTCTCGAAGAATAAGATGGGTGAGCAATACGATGAGATTTCTTCTTCTGATAGCTGGAGATATCAATCGACAGGGAGAGAAAGCGATATATTACGATATAAAAATTTACGTCTACTAACGTGGACTCACGTCCACAAACGTTCCGCTCGATCCTACTCGGCTATCTTTGCGTTTCAGGCAAAAAGACTCCCGTAGGTCACTTCGTGATTGGACCCGACGTCGGTGGGACTTACAGCGAACAGTGGAGGCAAGCCTTGGCGAAACCGGGCCAGCAGATAACGAAGTGGCAGACATTTGAATAAAAATAAGTCGCGCGATGAGCCCGGTAACTTATTCAATACTCCGTGAATGCGCAGTCGTTGTCGTACGACGTACTTTTCCTCGAGGACATCGAAAGAACGCGAGCAGCTAAAATGAGAACGCTATAGGCGCGCCATAAATATTTAAGGCAACAGATCGATAAAGCTACTCCAAAGAATACCATAGACACAGCTCGCAAAGGTGAGCCTCCACCCATCGGACGCATTGCTTCTTTGCCCCGCTGCGTGCGTTCACGTATCGCGTCTGCGTTGTCGATTTTACGTAAGGGAAAATCTTGTTCTCTAGAGAGAAAAATTATTCTTAAGTTTTCACCGCACGGATTCATGCTAGCACGAATCCTTCACCAGTATTGTCGACTGTCCTTGATTTCGTGGAGGAGACAGACTTGGCACAACTTCCGCCCCTGAATCCGATCAATGTAACCGTCCGTAAAGTAATTAAGAGTTATCGATTAATGCTATTCGTTGAGGAACGGTAGCACACGCTACAAGTACAACATATCATACTTCGTAAGAACGCAAGGACAGTGAGTGCGTTGAATTAGTATTAATTGATATTTTGTTATATGGAAATAACGTTATTTTAACGGCGACTAACATGGGGAACGTTAGTATTGTCTCGCCCGTGAGAAGTGTGCCTTCTCAAAACTGATATATCTAATGATGACGAATAGTAAATTTGACTAGTTTTATATATTGGTTAAACGCTCGCTTGTACTATCGCACTCGGACGATCATAAAATGAAACAAGTGCAAATTAATACTTTGAAGTCGATATTAGAGCAGGATTTGAAAGCCATTTCAGATTGTGATAAATCGAAATATTTTTTCTATTGATTGTCGTTCGTATATACTACCACTTTTAGTATTTACACAAAATATTTAATGTAAATGTTAAGGTAACATCATAGTTGTGTCCTCTCCCTTTCCGCGCCAACGAAATATATCTTTATAACTGAAATGCATAAAGATATACGTTAAATGTTAGTATTAATGTGTTAAATAATGTTTCTAAGGCTCAACACGAGAACGTGTAAAAAAGCAGTTGAGGGAACTCTTCAAATATTTTTACACGATTAGAAGTAATATTAATTCATTTGATATTTTTACTATTATTATTATAAACGTATTTCTTTCTTATAATAACGCATGCGTCCATAGTATTTTAATATATGTCTGTAACTGCTGACACCAAAAAGTACACATCTAATTTCGCACAAATGTATGTAAAGACATGTTTTTACTCACTCTTCTCTATTGTATGTAAAAGAAGAAATAACTCTTTTTATTTATAAATATATATTCTAATATACATATTCACATATTTATATATTCCTATCTCAAAATGTCGTTTGTGACTGTCAACTTGTTATGTGAATTTTGACAGTTAAGCTTTCATTGAGTTTAGTGTTAAAGATGAACAAGAGAGAAGAAAAAGGAGAAAAAGGAGTATGTGTTTTTATCATTGTAATTAAAGTTACTTATGCTATTTTCGATCCTATATATATATATATATAGGATCGAAAATATATATATATATAATATTAATGTCTTTACTAAATAGTTATAGCCAAAAAGTAACTTTAACAGCATTACGTATTGGTTATTCATTACCTATTAAAAAAAATTACTGTTATTATTATTAATCTTTAAAAATTAATCGTTACTGTTATAGTTATTCAAGTAATGAGTTATTACAAAAATATATTGAGTTAGTACTATTTTCACCAAGTTTTGAAGATTTTTTCAATAACAATTTGATATCGCTTGTCGCATATGTCATGTATTTCATATGTATTAATCAACCATAAAAGTTTCAATTTAATTTATTATTGTTACTCAAGAAATATAATTCTGCAATTGCTACAGTTATATTTAAAAAAATTAATGACCTTACTAAATAGTTGTAGACAAAAAATAACTTCTAACCTTAAAACCACTAAATAAGAGTTACTTATTATCTATTGAAAAACTTATTATCATTACTAATCTTGAAATATTACTCATTACAGTTATTATTATTAAAGAAATACTGAATTTATTACAAGAAGCACTCAGTTAGTACTATTTTTAGTATAAATTTTGAAGATCCTATTCTTGTGATAGCGATGTTGCTTGTGTCGTATACATATGTTACACATATATTCACAGACCATAAAATTTTTTATTATATTTGTTACTATTACTCAAGAAATGTAATTTTGCAACTGTCATAATCACATTTGTAAAGATTAATGTCCCTACTAGATAGTTACAGACAAAACCTTATAAGAACGTAATGCTTACTTCTCAACTCAGATATATCAGATAACCTATTCGAGTGATGATAATATGATAATATATAAATATAAATTTTCTTTTACAGGAAGAAGATCCTGTAGAATATATTTGTTTCTACAATATATATGCTACCTCTACAAAGAACAAAGATCCACTTTTGATAAACTACTTATACAAGTACACGATGAAAGTTAGCAGTTTCAAATGAATATATTGCAACTTAGGACGCTATTAAATTATTACATAGTGTAAAAAATAATAGAAAAAAACTATTAAAACAGAAAATTTCGTACAATAAGATAAAAATTAATGAAAAATATTTTATTGCTTTAGTGTGTAAAAAATATTAAGCTGTTATATAGTGTATAGATGATGTAGTGAAAGTATTACACAAAAATCAAGCAATCCTTATGCATTGAATTATATTTTTGTCTATAATTAGTCCTGACATCTTAGAAAATATTTTAAACATTACTTTATGGCATTACTAGCTACATGGCGCAGTTGCGTTTGTCTAGTCAAAAAAGAAATATTAAGTTTATCGGGTTTCGTATTCAATCAAGACAATATCTGTTTTCGTATTTACGAGTCATTTCATTATTTTCAATGTATTTCATACATTCGAGTAACAAATTCATAGTAATAGATGAATTTCAAGCATGATATGCAAAGTCACACATTCTATTGTATTTCATATGACACGATAATCGTATGATTACGAATCATGCTTTTATTGTATATGGATGACAGTGTGAAAGAAGAAAGAACTAAATATTACTTTAAAAATATATACAAAACATATAAAAAGATGGCAAAACACCATACTAAAACTAAATCGATTATATTAATCTGGACGGCATTAGCAGTCTTATCTTAACATCTGGAGTTGTCATTGCAGTCGGATGCTAATTTTCGATGTTAGTAAGATGCATAATTTGTACTGTATAACATTAAGATGGAGAAAAATAGTATGCAAATATATATATTTTTTTTCTTAAATTGCGATAAAAATATATTTCTATAAAATATGTAAAATCGTCGATAAAATATAATATCTTAGGCCAAAATAAGCTACTAACTTACTGGAAGTCATTTTCTTCTTTATAAATATTTCAGATTCTTATCGTTGCTCTATTTGGAATAGAATATAAAAAGGCAGCAGCCATTTCGTAAAAAAAATACATATATAAAATTAAAAACTTGTTATAAAAATCTAAGGTACTTATCGATACATTTGATTGTTGGAGTATGTGTTTGTCTCCCTGAAGTTCGATGTATAAGAAGAGAAAAGGGAGTTATTTATAATAAGTACAAATATGTGGATCTCGAGCTGTAAATACACTTACTGAAATCTAAACTATCCAGTGAATCAGATCTGTTAAAAAAAGAAAATCTTTGGCTAGATTCTTTCAATCAATGAATGCGTATCTGATTGATGTTATAAATGCAATTATCAAGAGTAACCAGCTCCCATACTGATATGACGCTGAATTACAACCGTCTTTACTATTACATGTACAATATTCCATAAATATATTATATGTTCCAGTTCTCATTAGGCAAAATCGTTCATCACCAGCAATACCTGGCTCTCCCATATAAGCACAACTACGAAAATATCTCCATTCACCATTAACTGCAATAAAAAAAAATATATATATATATATATATATATATATGTACTCAGTATAAGACATGGAAAAATCTATGGGTTATACATTTACATTCATATGAACATAGTTGATTATAAAATTAAATAATATTAGGTTACTCACCTTTTTGACGAATTTTACGACACATTGTTGGCCTCACACCTGGCAAATGCTCCAGGAATGGTTCTTGCTTACAGTCAGTGATTGGTACGGTAGAATTATCAAATGGGTCTGCACACTTGGGATCTGAATCTGATCTGCATACCCAACATTTGATGGAGAAGCCTGAGAAGACGCAATATAAAATTTATTTAGACAAAGAATATCAAACATAGGCGTTAATGGTCTTTAAATCCAATTTAAATGCGGTCTAATACACACACTTGTTCTGCGAAGAAGAGGTTAGGAATGTGTTGACGAAATATGAATCTTTATCAAAAGTATTACGTACAACTCTACAAATATCGACATGCAATACACATGCAAAGTATGTGTTTGTAATATCGAGCTTTGCGAGAGGTTATTTGAAGGTTAACATAACTAGTAATATTTCAATTTTAAATATTTCTTAAATAAATTACGTACCTTCGTGGATGCAACAAAGAAGCAGCAAAGCTGTCACGAGAAAATGAAAACGCATTTCATAGGCCATTTCTGTGACAGAAATTCTTGTTTTTTCCTGAAAACGTCTCACAAGAAAGACACAATGCTTCCAAACACGCTTTATGAGTCCACGCCTATAATTGCTATAACTGACCGCATGTTGCGCTGTTCATCCAATCGTTATACCCAGTGTCTCATAAGTAAGCGAAGATAAGCAAATGTCTACATATTAAAAAGGAGAGTCCCGATTGCCTACAGTACGATTGCACACAAACCAATCGATGATAACAATTATCTAATGAATTACCAGATCTAACCAATCATTACAATTTGTGATCAATCGTACTGTCGGCAATCGGACTCTCCCTATTAAAAACTCATTGAACAATATTTACGAATGTTCCAATGCATTATAAAAACTTCTTGAAAATTATTTGGAAATTATTACATAAAATATTATAATAAAAACAAAAATTATAGTGTTGGTAAATAAATATGTATAAATTTATAATTAAATATTAATAAACATTTTCATTATCTGTTATATGATAATTAATGAAAACATTTAATAATTATATAACAATAAAGTAATAAGTTATATATATATATATATATAATAAATATTTATATAATAATAAATAAGCTCTTTTTGTGATATTTGATTTTGATTGAGTTTTACGTAATAATATATAAATAAACAAAATTTAAGATCACAATACAAATATATGATATATTGGAGACACTCAGTAGAAATACCTACGCCTAGAATTATTTAATTACCGCAATTAAGTACGCTACGGGCTCACCCAGTTTATAACGGATGTCTTGCAAACAAGAGTATCTGATTAAATCTATATTTACTATAGATACATGCCACCGCATACATTGGATCATGAATGTAAAATTGTTAACATGGAAAGTCACAGAGAGACACGGTTCTATTGAGAAACGAATTAATTTACACATTAATTAAGTCAGCTGTAATTATACAAAAATAACCCGATAAAGCCAATAAAGTACGTTTTGAGAAAAATAAAAATGAAAATTTGATACATGATTTAAAAAAGATAGATAGCACTGAGGTTCTTGATCATCGTTCAAGAAATCAAGCATGATAAATTTTTTTTCGCTTCAGAGATATTCATTGACAAGTTTAATTCGTAAAAAATAAATAAAAAAAGATTCGTAAAAAAGATATAGTTAATGAAAAATAGTACAACTAGTAAAAAATAAAAATTTTATTTTAGTCACCTATAAGCTAAATCCTATAATTTAGATCCTATAATTTAGTCTTTTTTATGTAGAGATGCATAAATTACCCATTAGTAAAAAACAAAAACTCAGAAATCATAATTTTGTAAATTGGGTGATTATTATTTAACTATGACTAATTTACATATCACGAGTAAGTATTGACAATAAAAATTTCTGGTGTAAGAATCGCATTTCTTCATACGCTACTGATAAAACTTCGGATATACTCGGCTTCTTCGGGATTACATCACGCGTGACTCCATTTAACCGCGCCCGACAGTTGCGATACACTCTTCGCTATAGTCTCACCAGACTATAGCCATGTGCGTGTGCGCGCACGTGTACATCCACGTGTGCATGTCCGCACGTTAAATTAAATTTTTTTCCCGCAATGCAAAAGATATCAAGCATTTTCAACGAATATTAAACGAACACGCACACGTGGTGTACTACAAGGTACACGTGCGCAGGCAGACATGACATGGGAAAAAGATCAACTGGTTGTCAATCAACTACCTCTCTAATATCTAATCGCGCTTTTTACCGAGCGAACAGACGCGCGTAATTCCAACACGATGTAGAGTTCGATACCCTCGCGCAAACGAATACGAAAGGGAATATGTTCCTCGGCGGAAGAAGTGGAAAGAGCACGCTTGCGGATCTGCTTTAAATACGCGTGAAAGTGTTCCGTCTTTCCCTCTCAGACGCGATCGGCTGCTATCCGGGAGTCCGGGTCGTGAAATCCTGAATCGACTGGTACGTTGAGCCGGGACGCGTCCACCAACATCCTCCAGCTATCTGTATCAGTCTGAAGGAAGGAGGAAGAGGAGGAGGAAGAAGAGGAGAAGAAGAGAAGAAGAAGAAGAAGAAGAAGAAGGGGGCAGGGGGTCGATCTGGACCCCACGGATCTCGTAGCCCGCGGCTACGGATCGGCTCCGCTCGCTTTTGCGGGTGGTCCACGTCGGCGACGTCCGCGCTGCGCGGTCCGGTTCCGGGGGAAACATTTGAATGCTATAAATAAATATAAATAAATTGATTTGTCGGCATTAGCATAAGTAGCAAGAGAGAGGGCAAGAGAGATAGATAGATAAAAATAGAGAGAGAGGGAGAGAGAAGGAGAGAGAATCTCTGGCGCGGGCTTCTCGGCGTCCGCGTGTATATCTCCTCGCCGTTGTCTACCTTTTCCTCCCTAGCTTTCTCTTCTCGTTCGGTTCCCCTCTCGCGCGCGAGTCCGCGACCGCAGACGTTGATTTATACCGGTATGTCCGTTCGGTTCCTGCGACGGGCATTCACCGTCGACTCTTCTTCCCTTTAACTTAAAAGGACACAGGACTACGGGGCCTGAACGCGCGCTCGTCTGCCGTCTCTCTTCCTTCGCTCTCGTACTCGTGGGAATTAATTCGCGAGTACGAGGCGGCCTTTGTGCGCGCCAATGGTGAATTTGCATCTTTTTGCCATCAAAAAATTCTTGCAAAACGCGTTAAAAAAAATTTAACGATGTTTTCCGTCGAGCGGCAACGGCAGGAAACGAAAACTGGATTCTAGAAATTCTCAAAATAGCTGTTTTTTAATTAAAAGATTGAAAGGCAACGTGACGCTCCTTTGCTTATTTTAAGCGGGTAAGATAAACTATAAAAAAGTTGTACTCGAATACGATAGATCTCATAGAGAGTGTTAAATGTTGCGGAGCAATAAACGTGTATACATGTTTTGCTAAATGCTATAAAAATTTTTTATAGCTACAATAACTTTTTATAGCTATAAAAAGTGTTGTAATATTTAATATATTCTATAACTCTACAAATAAAATTTTCAAGAATGTCACGTATAGCTTGATAGTATGAAGGCTGAAGAATAATTTTAAAAATCTAAACGTGTAGTTATTAAAACTTCTAGCCGTGGAACTCTAGACTGATGATGTCATAAGCGAAAAAACGCATGCCATTTTCAAATTAATCTGTATAAAAGAACACTGAAGATCGCCTAGACATATCTGTACACTGAAAGAAAAATATCTAAAAAATAGTAAATCTTTCTTTAATGGGGATACTAAGTAACATATTTATTCAAATCTAAATTCTCTTATTCAAACAAAATAAACAATCTTCTATAGAAAGCTAAATTTTTTTTTAAGATTTTAAGAAAATATTTTCTTATTTGAAGAATATTTTATATTAGTATAAGTTATCTTTTTATTTAAAATTGACGCGCAAGAATTTTCTGCGTATCATTTCTCGCCATGTCGACATCGTGATTCAATATGGACGCGACGAGTATTTAAGAGTCTTAAGATCCTTGAGTTAATCAAAGAACCTTAAAATCTAACACTATGCAACTTTTGCGTAAAACATTTTTCTCGCATACGGTTTCAAAGACATTTACTTACAATTAATTTTAGTAAATATTTTTCGAGGGGTTGTTTCAACCCCTTAATATGCGTGATAATACACAAAAAGATACATGCTTCTTATTTTTAGCTGCACTATAACACATGAATTAAAATCGCTAATATGAGCATATTTTTCCTTAATGATAATCAACGAAATCCATTTCTCACCATCGACGGCGAAGAAGCAACACGCCAATGGCTGAATGGACAAGACTAATGATTCTAAAATATCACGCGCGATGGGCACTTATTACATGTCTTCGTGAAAAGCAATTTTCTGCAAGTGTTTTCGCGAACGTCATATTTCACTTTTTAATCTATAACTCGCACGCAATTGCGGTCTGCTATGCACTTCCGCGAGTCACTCCCGGCAGTCGTTATTCAAATTGCATTCGAGAATCACGAATCGCTTCCCTCCATCAAGAAATGAGAATCGGATGGCGCGGGCTGTTCTGCAGCATCTTGCTCTGCTGTCTCGCAGAGAGTCGCGAGCGTTTCTGGCCATTGAACGACCGCGCGAGCGAGGACGACTCGCTCGTAGATATCATGCGCAAAGTATTGCGAGCATCGCCGACGCGCGATGTCCTGCTCATACTTCAAGACTCGTTGTCGGACGGCCGAGCGGACGATATCCTGGGTAAAATAGCGGCGGCGACGGCACGACGCGTACCGACATTTTACGTAAACGCGCACCAGGCCGAGCTGGAGTTTCAGGTTTCTTTCTGCGCGCTGTCACGCGATCTACTCGTGTATATCTATGTCTCACAACGAGAGCCGGATATCGTGGAGGGCGAGCTCATAGCCGACGACTTGAGACGCCTCATTCACACGAACGGCCAATCCAAAGTGCTCGTGCTGATGTTACTCCGTCAGTCGTCCCTCGATTTCGCGGCCTTCTTCCAGGCGATGTGGTCGAGGAAGATCCTGAACACGATTGTCGTGGAATACTGCCCATCAAACGAGCACTCCACAACCATTCATCGCTACAACCCGTTCACCGACAGTCTCACCGCGGAACCTTACTCCGCGAACACCACCGAGTGGTTCACAGACGACTTTCCGGACATGCAGGGCTACCCGTTCGCATACACGTTCGGCCGACGACCTCCGTACAGCGACGTGGTGCCAACGTCCACAGGAGAGATTAAGTTGAAAGGCGTCGATCACATGGTAATCCGAACGCTCGCAGACAAAATGAACTTTAGTCACGTCGTCAAGCGGTTGCCGAACAACATGTACCGCGAACCACATTCGAACGGGACCATCACTGGTATCATACCTGATCTGGTTTCCGGGAGATACGAAACCCTGTTCATCACGTTACCGATACTCTTCGACGAGGACGAAGTGCAATTTGTCGACAACTTCAACGTTGAGACGTGGTGCTTCGTGGTGCCGAGATTGCCGGCCCGGCACGACTTCTTCGACTACCACGGCATCGGGATTCGATTGTTCTTCGTGAGCTTCTCGGTCGTGGGGATCTTCTGGCTGTACGCGAGGCTCATGAGACTCGACCCGAGTAGATGGCATCCCCTGATGATCATCGGTATCATGTTGACCTCGTCCTTTCCGCCGGCACCCCACAGGCTACACGAGCGTATCGTTTTCCTCAGCATTTTCATAGCCTGCGCGCGCTACTCGTCGAACCTCCTCGGCGAGTTGATGGGCCTCACCTTAAGCAACGATAATTACGTCCGATTCGATCGCCTGCCGGATCTCATAAACTCGCATCTGACGTTGATGATGTTTCACCAACACAAGCACGTTGTCACGCAGAATGACGCATTCCTCGAGAATCATGCGCACGACATGGACAACAAGGTCAGGGAAATCACCAACATAGACCTGTGTCTAGAGAACCTGCTGACGCATCAGAATATTTCCTGCTTCATAGAGCGAGGCTGGGCCAATCTGGCCGCGGTCAATAACATGCAGAACGGCAAGAGCATACTGATAATAACGAAACTGTGTTATCTGTGGCTGCCGACCGGTTACATCTTCTCGAGGGGATCGCCTTACGTCAGGCGCGTCAGCGAGTTGCTGCTGATGCTCAGTGAAAGCGGCATTCGCGATAACTGGCAACGCGACTACCTGCGGAACGAGACGAGGGAGATGAGCGAGGATAAGGTGGTGAGTCGCGACATCAAGCTCGTCCAGTCGCTGCTCCGCGTGTTGAAGTTCGGCTACTTCCTCTCCGTCCTCGTGTTCATCGGCGAGTTGATTTGGAAACACTATGAGTCGAGATGAATGTGTTCTTTGTGAAACTTGTGACAGGATAAAGTACAGGGTCGAGACAAGAAGTGCAGAAGTGTGGTAAGAGCGCAACCGAGTGTTATCGGAGGATCTATTCTTCCGTAATGTTCTCTCACTTGAACGACCCGTAACATGGAGTATCAATCAATGTTATGACACTTGCAATTGGCGAATTGGCTCCCGCTCACGGCGGCACTATCAGGTCGAGCGAGCGAGGCGTTGTCGCGAAATCGATCGTCGACGCGATACACCGATATGGCGCGTTAATGACACGCGTATTTAATCCCATCTCTTTCGCATTGTGGCGCGCAGTTAATCTTCGTTATTGCAAGCGCGATGCGTCGAGTCAACGAGAGGGAGAGAAAGACAGAAAGAAGGAGGGAAGGAGAGCGTTGTCGGCGCTTAATATCGTTATATACGAGTAATTTTAATCAATGTAACAGTTTCGTCAAACGGGAGGCACGCCTTCCGATGTGGCTGGCGAAGCAGCGTGTCGTTACTTCATACTCGTTACATGTGAGTCAACCTGTCTCTTTCTTTCTCTTTTATCTCTCTCTCTCTCTCTCTTTCTCTTTTTCTCTCTTTCCTCCCGTCTGGTCGAAAAGCGACCCTCGTTTCGGGAACGAAAGCAAATCACCGGCCGCTCTCCTCAGAGTAGCGGCCCGCTGCTCTTGCTTATTTTTTCCTGAAAAAACGGCCAATTTCGTGTAATCTTCCCTGCGAGAGCGGGGCGTGGCCAGACCACAGGGATACTCCGGTAGGTAACTGCGATGTGTGTCATTAACCGAATCCTCCGAGCGACTCTGTCCGGATCCCGGCTCCTCTTGAACTTGTCGAGTGGCTGATTTTGCAGCTTAGAGAGTTACGAAAGCGTGATTTAATTCCCAATCAGGCCCAACGAGCAACCAATGAAAGACGTAATAATGATCCCTAACGGCCCGCGTCTTGCTACGATGTCCTTCTTACGAAGAGCTGTAGCCAGATCGAAGAAGCATCGCACCCAGGCGATTTTCGATTGACATCGCGACGTTGACACGACGATGTCCGCTCAGCGTCAGCCGTTCCCGTCGACTACGGTCGGTTATTTCTAGCGTCAGCGTCACGATGGCATTTTGTCAGGCATTCTTTCATTGTCATCTCGCGCTAGATGCACGTCCGACTGACCCAGATCCTCGCGAACGTCGAAGATCGTGTCGCAGGGTGAGACACGGCACGAGCTCTCGGTGTATCAGTGACGCTGTCGCGCAACGCGAACGACTCTGTCGTAATCGCGAAAACTCGTTTGCGATTTTACGTTTCTCGCGCCGAAAAAAAATCGCCGACCACCTCAACAACGTGCGCGGCGGCGCAAGAGCGTTTAGGTACCGCGCCGTTAGGCGACTGATCCGTTCTGAAATGAACGTCAGAGACGTTATCGAGGCGAGTGACCAGTCTGGCCGGTCCGCGCCGATCGTCGACGGCGAAACGCGAGCACACGCCGTCCTTCTGCTGCCGCCGTGTTTGCCGAACGCTGACAAACAAACAGTCGTTAACAATACATATTAACCCATCTCCGCGCGTGTCCACGCGTCTACGTGGCCGGCGGCCCGGAACGCGTCCTCAGCCGCGAGACGGAGGTGCTGTCCGCCGACGTACCCCACCGCGCTGACTGTTCCCGCAGAATCACCCTCCACTTCCGCCTGGCTTGGCAGCCACTCCTCTCTGCAGCCTCCGTTGATACTTCCTCTCTCGCGCGTGTATCTCGTCAGTCGGCCCGGAGCCACGTGCGTGCGCTCTCCAACGGCTCCCGCATGGGACACGCATTGGACAGCTTCGCTTCGCGCCGGACGAGCCGCGCGACCTATCCACCCGCAGCGGCCGATGACAGATGAACGTCTTCGCGCGAAGTTGGCGAAGGCAAGAAGAAGAAGAAAAAGACGACGACGAGGAAGAAGAAGAAGAAGATCGTGAAGGGCAGGAGAAGCGGAGGTGGCGGAGGAGAAGGGAGGAGATTGCACTACCGCGCGGCCGCTTCCCGGTTCATTCGTCTTCGCTCTTCGTTTATCAGCGCGAGCCAGCGAGAAAACCAGGAACCCCTTCGCGCCGAAGAAACGAGCCGCCTCTGTTACCGCGGACTCCGGAGAGATATCAGTGAGACACTTCTTGATAACAGTCGCGGCCTGTGTGACACTTCGACGAGGTAGACGATGGATAATCAATCGATAGAATTGAGTTGAACTGAAGCGATAGAACAATCGTCCGCGGGAAATGAAGACTCCGTCGACTCGCTCTCATTGGCAGACTGAGGCTGTTCCATGCGAGGCACCGGATGAAATCGCGAAATATTTCACTGAACCGAGCCTGACGAGACACTAACGTTTGCATTTAGGAGAGTTCGCAAATTATTGACCTCCGGGACTCCCGTCCATTATCAATAAGAAGAAAAAGAAGCGTGTATCTGAATTCAAAATTCGATTCGCGCCAGAGGGAACGTAGACCGGTGATTCCAGTAGCCTGCGGAGAACAGAGCGAGATTCGCACGTCGACTCGGAGGCGAGTCGAAATATCTCAGCGTAGGCTCATCATCGATCATCAAGCCTCTGCGCTGCGAGGGAACGCGGTATGATCCGCCAATACACCGGCGTGCTTCGGGGAAGAACAAAGATATCGCCTTGGGCTGAGTGCGACTAGACTTAGGTGGCTCAAAGGTGAAGACAGACGGTCGGGAAGTCGGGAGAACTAAAAATATCAGCCGGCCCGGCGGTCGGCGGTCGCGCACGCGGCGGCCCCCATCGTATATTCCTACGCTGGACAATTTTACCGGCTGGAGCGGAGTGATATCTCCATGAGACAAGGCTCGCCTTTAATCTCGCGCTAGACTACCGTCGGCCACGTAGCCGTCGTTTGCTCTAAGAGCTCGTTGACTGATCGGACTTTGGCGCGAGACGCGAGGCAGCCGCGCGACTCCACGGCACGAGAATACTCAGACGGTCGTCGTCGACCGCTGAGGAAGCTGTTGAAGCTGCTGCAGTTGCAACTTTACCGTCGTCCGAAAACTGAGCCATCCACAGGCGCAGGCTGTTCCTCCACTTGGGCCGTGATCGTCCGAGCCGCGCTTGATCGACGGACTTGTTCTCCGCGCGTGCGGCGAAACTCGGGGCTATTTATTCTTTCGGCCATGGTGTGAACACCAGGGTAAGATTTCGCATGAGTAGACGTTATTTAGGGAACCGAAGCACGTAGGAGTGAAGAGCCGCGCGCGCGGCAGACGTCAAGTGCGATCTTTTGATCTCGTAACGATTTGCACGCGAGAATAAGACGTCAAACGGTCTCGCCGGGAATAAAGTAGCTAACATGCATGAAGTTACTGTGGTTACTCTCTTTCTCTCGTTCTTTCTCTTCTTCTTTTTGCACCTCGCGTTCTTCAGCCGGCCGGCCGGCCGGCTTGAAGAAGCTGCGCCGGCAGCCCGCCGGCTGGAAGGAGTGTAAATCATGCTGCGCTATAATGGGAATATCGTTGCGAAACGCGTGAAGAACACGGAATCCCATCGCCGGGATGGATATCGTCGAGGTAACATCGCGTGCGAATTAAACGCATGTCGCGGACCTTTGTGTTCTCCTAATCATCGCACTATTTCGCATCATGCGACCCAAGCAGACCTTTCTCCAATAACATTAACCGCTTCGCCACCCCTGATCTTATTAAGAGACTCGCAATCTTCTCGCGACTCGTGAATCCTTCTGACCGACCAGCTAACCTGTCATTTACCCCGTGAAGCCCGATACCATTATGTCATTAGCTGGCCTAAAAGTCTGTGTTTGTCTGTCGGATTTCAGCCAGTGCGCTAGATCACCATCCGGCAGGACGCGTCCGAACGCGAGACGCCAGTGTCAAGGCCAAGAGACTGTCGCGCGGCGGAAGGTCGTCGACGGAGGAGGATCGGTCGGTCGGTCGGTCGGTCGCTCGATCAGCAGCCAGCCGGCTGGCTGGTTGTCGAGTCTTGTAGCAAAGTCCGTTCAGTCTAACGTACGCACTCTCGCATCGACGGTATTTTACAGCGTGGTTGTTTGAAATTCTTTGCGTGGAGTCGCACGCCCGTATTTATAGACTCGCGTGCACGCGCGCGCGCGCGCGACGACGCGGCACGTAGGGCCGTGAGCGCGCGCACTCACGCACTCGTGCGCTTCTCTCGTGCGAGTGCGAGGGGTAGGTAGACTTAACAGACAGGGTGCGTGGGGTACCGTGGAACACACCGAGCCGAGACACGACGCAGCCAGCGAACGGCACGTCGCGATCATGACGCGATGCGTCCGCGACGGGAGTACCGGCCTGCCTCCTCCTCCTCCTCCTCCTCGTCTTCTTCGTCGACGACGACGAGCAGCGCGTCCCCGTGGTCGCCCAACTGTCTGCGTCGCCGTCTGCGACCCGTCCATCTGACGGGCATGATCGCCACCCTCGCCGGCCCCGCGACCATCCTACGAGTCTTCGTCATCCTGCTCGCGCTCGGCCACGCGCTCGCCGCCGGGGATCTGGTGAGTACCTTGCATGTACATGTTATTTCCTTCTTAACTCTCTCGCAGCAATTCCCCGCGTCTTGTGTCATTGGTACCCGGGGAGAGCGCGTCGGACTGAACGGTTCCCTTGGATTACAGACTCCCTCGTCGCAAATTTCAGCCTTTAGTGCCGCGTCGATTGCCGTAATGATTGGATGAAAGCTTAGCTGATGGTTGAATTACCGAAGACACGGTAAAGAAATATAATCGAGATACGTGTATCTTTTATCTCGTTTCATAGCTTTCGATGGGAAACGTACGGATTTTTGCAAACGGAGAAAATATTAACGTAATAAAAATTACGTTAAAATCACACTTTTTTTTACTATGTCTTTTGTAAGTTTGCACTATACTGAGATTTCAGCATAAATCACTAAAGAAATAATAATTGAATACACGATATAAAAAATATTAAAATAATTTGGAAGTAAAAAGTCAAACATGCATAAGATTTCTAAACAAATATATAGTAATTTGAGTCACAATTCGGTATGATTAAGAGATAACGAAAATTTTGTAGTAATTTTTACTATGATATTTTATCTGTGTACATTACATACTTTCTAAATTTCTTCCAGTGAGATTCCACTCGAAAAGCAGAGCGACAGCCGAGTCATTCGGACTCGAGTGATTTTTTCATCAGAGCGAGTTCTGCGCTCTGAATTGTCGAATGGATATTTTCACTTGAAATTTTGAAGAGTAAATTAATTGTATTTCACAAGAACCAATTCACTCGAATCGGTTGTAAACGTTTCACTCGTATGGTTTAAGAATCCACTCTAAGTTTGAGTAAACATCCACTTTTACGATTTCGAGCAGCAGTGTTTCCAGTGTCACTTCGAGTGAATTTTCACCCGTTTTCAATGAGATTTCACTGCGAGAAATTTAGAGAGTAACCTAATGAGACACGGTAATATCACAGTGCCAGTCATTGCGATCACGATGGCTGTCACGGCGATCAGCGTGTTAATCTTATCGAACTTATAAGTTGTATGAACGTGCAGATTCTTTCACGAGTATGACAGCGCATTCATACCTTGGCAGAAAAGCAGAAACCAATCAGAACTCGCGCTGGTGATCAAGTGGTAGTCGGCTAGTTTCTGCTTTTTTACCAGCGCGAGTTTAGATTGACTTCTGCCATTCTGCTTTTCTGCCAAGGTGTAAATGTGCCCTTAGAAGCCTCCGGGATTCTGGATGCTTAACTAATCGCGGCAAAATACCGGGCAACAGTTTTCACGAACACGACGCGCTCAATCTCGCGGAGGATGCACAAGTATCGACCCCCGCGCGCCGATGGATTATCAAACACGAGGTCGTTTAGTCAGGAAAAACGGGGTATTACGCGCGCCTTGTACCCGGCTAATGCACTGTAATTTCCGATATTTATCGTGTACAAGTTTACTTAATTGCGTTACCGAAATCGTATCTGGTAACGTGTAGCCGCCGTGGCGGCTGGTTGATGCGCACCGTAATTTCAGCGAGCGCGTGTAATCTCACGCTGAGGTTTGATGTACGATAAATTGATATTAACTCGAATAATATAGATTCGCGAAATTACACTCTCAACGTGGAACACAACGCAAGTACACCGTAGCCTCATGTGCCCGACCCTCTCCGTCACTTACGGACTTTGATTAATAAACTAGAATCTCCCGGGCGAACGTAGCGTGCTGATGAATACACATAGTGAAGAGAATGCCAAAGTATCGAAATATTCTCCAAGATCCGCGGCCCAGACTAGCCTCAAACAATCTCGGATTAATGCGGCCCAATTTGTCAAAGGTGAATCGGTGATGAGTAGGTAGATTAAGGAAGACAGAAAGTCCCGAGAAGCCCGAAGCGACCGATAAAACATCGTGTCAGTGGGAACCCAGCAATAGCGGCGCAATTACCGGGTCCCGAAGTGGGGAAATCTCGTTTTAGCTAAGCACGTCGGGATAATTACTGTAATCTCGTCCCGTGGCCATTCTTAAGCCGCAATAATTATTTACAGTTTCGAGGTTAATATGTCGACACGTATATAAACTAGTTCCAACGTCAACGGGCATGCAGCAGACGAGTTGCTGGTAATAAGCGTCGCTCGAAATCTCCGACTGTAATCGCTATCGATTCGAGGAGTCGAGTCCGCGCCGCAGCCGCGGGAACGCGACGAGAAGTGTGCTTAGGGGGTACCTCTCTCGCGAAATACAAGGTTCCGTTATGGGCGCGCGAGGAGCTGAATCGAACGCGAACGCGTTGAAAGTCGTGTGAACCTCGCGTGGGACTCTGACGATGCGCGCCGGACAATATATCCAGCGCGAAGGAACGCGGAAGTGTGAATCCCTGAAACTCAAACAGCACTTGTCAATTTATCTGATGTAATTTAGCACACTCTGCGTCACGAGACGCTGCGAGGAGTATCGAGTCGTCAGATGATGACGATTCAAGGGAAAGTTGCCGAAACCGTGCCGACCTCCTAAATCGATTCCTCATTATTACTGAATATGACATCTAACGGTAGAAGTGAAAAATAAAGCAACGACGAGAAATAAAAACAAAAAATTTCCAGATTACATCTTATTTTTCGCGGGTGTAACAAACATAAAACAAATCAGATACGATTTAGGGACTCCTAAATTACGATTTCGGTAATTCTTCTCTAAAGTCCTTTATAATGGAAGTCTAGCCATAAACTAATTTTGTCCTGCGAGAGAGAAGGAAGTATTTTCTCTCTGTCTCGCTCTCTATCTCGCGAGCGCGTCAAATAACACTAGGTTAAAGAGAGAAATTCGAAATAGTGAATGTTTCCTTCTACCTTGTAGAATTTTGACAAAATCGGTTTACGACTAGATCCCTGTCATAACTTATTCTTGTCAACTTTTCTTTCCGCTACTTCCGACGACAACGTCGATGACGCGTCTGACGCGCCGCTCACCTGGCACATCGTCGTCCGAAATTTTGTATCGTGCCGAAAGGGCCAATTATTTCGATGGAGATTCAACTGGGCGCACACCGCCGAGCGCCAATCCCCTCGATAAGATCCTCTCGTCAAGCGTAGCGGCGGCGGCGGGTTATATTTGGCCGGATGCCGTCGAACCTCCGCCGACGCAACGCGTACGTGACGTTACCGTGCGCGGACGGCATCACGTCGAAATCGGACATCCGCAGAATCGTGCTCGCCAGGGGGTTATTGTGCCCTGTCATTCGTCCGGCCATGTTGAATGACGCGATGTACCAGTTGGCACACATTCGACGTGCCCTTCGGCGAGCATGTCGACGAAAGGGAAAACGAGAGGGAGGGTTTACTCCGGACGACCGCGAGCGACAGATGAAGGATATAGATTGGCGTTTATCGATCTCGCATAGAAATTTCCGAAATTTTGCATAGATCACAACTGGAATGCCTAAATTTCTCCCGAGAGAGAAATTGATAATCACACTCTATGATACCAATTAGGGGAACCCCATTCTTGCCTCATCGCATGTTTGAAACATCGGACCCATTATTTTGAGGAATCGAACTGGATCCCAATTATAGATCCCAGGAAATTTTCTATGCGGGGTGTTCTCTCTCTTATCCGTACGCCCTCCCTCCCTCTCTCTCTCTCTCTCTCTCTCTGCGTAAGTCCGCGCTAACAAGCCAATTTACGGCACTATCGGTGTCGGAATGGACGCGTTAAGCGAGCCGGACAGGCCGTAGATGGGTCGGGAGACCGACGCCGCGTCGCTCTTACCGACCTGTCGGCCGTAAATTCGAGTTCGTTGGAAATAATCGTTGAAAATAATCGCGCGACGGATACGTGTGTATTTGTTTCTCCGGCTTATCCGCCGGCGATCGCGCAGACTACTGCGCGATACGCGCAACCGTGTGTTTTTACAGCGCGATTTCCGCGTCTCTTTCCGCGTTTAACAGACCGAGCGCGCGTCTGTTTATTGCCACGTCGGCTAGAGCTGACGTTTGCGAGCTTGCCTAGGAAGTCCCGAGGTAACTTAAATGCGTTCTTTCAGCCCGTTTATTAACGTGTCCCGTCGCGTAAATACTCGCGCGCCCGGTGGGTTGAGCGCTCCCTTCCGATCGCGCGGTTATGATCCTGCGTATCGGCTGCTTCTTCATTAGCCGGATTCTAACGCGTGTAACGCTCCGACAGTGAGCCAGCTTTTTCCAATGCGCACGCATCAGATGCAATCGATGCCACTTTGTCGCGGATAAACTCGAGACGGAGAGGAGATCCCCTCGAGTGACAAGAAGCCTGTGCGAATACTTTATCAGCGTGACTTGGCTTTTTACTACTCGCGCTTATATATATATATATATATATATATATATATATATATATATATATATATATATATATATATA